CAGTTTTCTCTTTCTCTGTATTTCATTGCCGTTTTAGGAAATTAGCAAATTTAAAAAATACTAGTTACTCACAGTCTCATTTCCTTTCTTTTTTTTCTTTTGCGCTATTTGTAAAACTCACCACGTTCTTTCAACGTAAATGGATTTTTTCGTTTAAGAAAATCACGCACCGCTCAGTCTAGTTTCGTAGTTAGAGCCTGGCAAGAAGGTAGTTCATGCAATGATATTTAGAAACAATTCAGTTATTGAACAAAGGAATTAGCCTGAATTTTAGCCATTTTCTTCGCCCGCTCACTCGAGACGGCTGAGATTCAGGCTAACAATGGAATGTAATCAAGATATATGTACATAGACGGCTGTCCTTAAAATTCCTTTGTTATTCATTTTTCAAGCCGAGCAGTTTTTGCGAAAAGTGCCAAATGAAATATTTCTGCTTTAACAGCTCTCTTGCTGTTTGTGATGCATTTTTTCATTAATCATGTAATGTGTAACAGTAAACACTGAGTCTTGTAATTTTGTACTTGTTGAATTCCAGTTTTTAGAACTAATGTGGATTACCGTAAATAGACTATGTTATGTGGAGAATCTGCATGGGGATGATCGGATATTAATCATCAGTCAGACTTTCAGCTATATTTCAGCCATCTGTTAATTTTTGTACCTTAGAATTCGGCTGTAGAAAGATTAATAACAAATCGTTTCATCAATTTCTCAGCTGACGGTTAAAATGTTGGCTAATTTTCAGCTCTCAGTCAAATCCCATCCAGATCCTCTATGTAACTAGTAACTAACTACATTGTATAGAAGACTGAAACAAGCTTTGCTTACACTTGTACTTTTAAAATGTCCATTGTTTCGGTTTAAGGTTTGTTGGCATGCAGTGCGAATTGTACATTCTGAGACTTGTGACACTTGTGACAAGTTCGTGTCAAGTTCCCGTCGTAACAAGCATATATTAGTCATTGCAGCTGATCGAAACTTTTGGGTAAATAAAAGTATTGTGAAGTATTAGTAAGAAAAACGTGTGCTTGTTTCGTTATTAACCCCACCTTATTTTTTCATATACATCGTGCATAAAAAAGAAATATTTAGAAAAAAGTACTGGTGTTGTGCCTGTGACGAATGTTAAAAAACTAAACAAACAAACAAACAACAACAACGCTCTCCGGCCCGGGCCCAAGCCCATACGCAGTGAAATTAAAATATCACTGGTGGAGACGCTGCCTAAATGTTGCATATTCGTCCATTTTGGATTAATCCTCAGTTTGTTTGGGTAAGTGGTTGTTGCCACAACGGTAATTGTAATATCGTGATGGGTGGACTTAGTTGAGTGCACTTAATATGATTTGCTAATGTAACTGTCCGATTACAGGCAACTGTCTAACTACAACCACGCACAATGATTAAATAAAAATGAAGCAGTTAATGCACCAATCAAATCTGAGGAAATTGTAATGGTTATGATTAGTAATTTGTTTCAAATTTGAGGGTTCTTTTAAAAAGACAGCCTAACTGGCAAAATTTTAGCCTGACAGGTTCTTAAAAAGCAGTTTCTTAGTTGTGGTATGCTGGGTGTCAGCCCATCCGTTTTTTGTTTATCCATGTCAATGAGGTCAGATAGGGATTTTGCATTTGGTCTTCTCTTCTTCTTCACCATGGTGCTTTTAATAGGAAGCTTTTTTCTTCTAATCAGGATCATATTAACAATCCTTTACTCTGATTGATTTATTGACGGATGAAGAACACTAAGAGGTGAAGTTGTTATACCACAACCACCAACTCATTTCCACAGCAGGAACAGAATGCTTAGGGATAGAAAATTTTCACGAGAAACTGATTGAAGCTTAGTTTGATTTCCTGAGTTTCATGTTACAGCTCTGGTGATCCCTCCAGAACTTCACACCTTCAAAAAAGTTATAACAGCTGTTTTTTTTAATCGACATTAAAGGACCAGTCAAAAATTTTACAAACCAACACATTTCTGTGTTACTTTGGCCATATGATTAGACACGTAAAATCCCAGAGAATACCTAACTCAGCCACTAGTGAATAAGTGTTTGCCTAAGGTCAAAACTGAAGTCATTGAGGTTCATATTTCGTACCATTTGGGTCTCATTTCATCCACAGTTGCTAACGTTATAATATGTTTATTACTCAGCTCCGCTTTCATGCTAACTTTGTGACGTGGCTAGTGGCAACGTCCCACTAGCTCCCACTGACTTAGGCAAACACTGACAACATTGCGTTTTATACCCCCTTTATTTTGGTTTGGTTTATTCACAGTTAAAAGAGCTACTGGAAAGAAGCTTTATTTCGCAGCCTCGTTTTCATGGTAGATTCGTCACGTGACTAGTGTCGTATGCCATTGACTTAGGCTAACACTGGAAACATTGAGTTGTATGTCTCCCGTTATTTTGGTTTTGTTTTATCCACAGTTAAGAAAGGTATAAGAAGTTTTATTTCTCAGCCTCATGCTAGCTTTGTCACGTGACTAGTGAAGTGTCCTATTGGCTATGAGCTGCTATGGAAAAAAACTGACGACATCGAGTTTTACATCTCCTGTTATTTTGGCGTCATTTTATCCACGTTTTGTAAAGTTTTAAGACATTTTATTTCCCAGCCTTGTTTTCATACATAATCTGTTTAGTTAATTTTTAACCCCCCCTGAAAAGCCTCGGTGCGGGTTACAAAACCGGCAACTAGATTTTTCTTGTTACTCGAGGTCTTCTTAATACCTCTAGACCAGTTGCTTGCTTTCAGCACGAACTTCCCACGGAAGTACAAATGCTGCCAGACTATTACGGGCCGCCATCTTGCATGAGTGTGAAAACTACTTAGGGGGCGGGGGCGGTTTGGGAGGAAGCGAGAAAAATCCCCCCTTCCCCTACAGCTATAATCCCCGACGCCCGCCCCCTCAGGTACACTTGAAAATCAAGATGTCCTCCACTAACAGTAACACGCGCTATATTTCGACGATCTCACGAAAAAATAGGGGACTGTGAACGGTCTAATTTCGCTCAGGATAGGCTATTTTGATTGATGACTTCGATGACTCAGAAGCTGCAAAAGCCAAAATCTTGAGTGACGCTCGATTTAGCCCAGCGAAAGACTCGCCATTACATTGCTCAAACCGTTTAAAAGAGCTTTAAGCAACTTTACGTCGAGTGATAAAGCCTTCTAGCACTTAGCACTTTAAACTGTGACCATCAGCTTTTTCTCCATTCTATTCCGCTCAGGATAGGCTATTTTGTTTGACAATTTCGGTAAATCAGAAGCTACAACAGCCAACATCTTGAGCGGACACTCGTTTTGAAACAGCGAAAGACTCGTCGTGACATTGCTCAAACAGGACAGTTGAGTAGAGCTTTCAGCAAACTTTACGTTTGAGTGATAAAGCCTTCCAGCAGTTGAAACTTTAAACTTTGACCATCGGCGTTTTCCACATTCCATTCGGCTCAGGATAGGCAATTTTGCTTGATGACTTCGATGAATCAGAAGCCTCAAAAGCCAAAAACATGAGTGACGCTCAATTAGAAATAACGAAAGACTCGTCATGACATCCCTCAAAACAACGGAGTTGAGTGGAAGTTTCTACAACTTTACGGGGCGTGATAAAGCCTTCCAGCGGTGAACGCTTTTAACTGTGGCTATCGGCGTTTTTCCATTCTATTGCGCTCAGAAAATTTTTTTTTGTTTGATGACTTCTCTAAATCAGAGGCCGCAAAAGATGCAAAACGTTAACGACACTCGTTTTGAAACATCGCGAGACTTGCTATGACATTCCCCGCGGCTGCATGATATTTATTGTTAAAATAATACTAAATCTTCTTTGTTTTGGTCATGACATTTGCTTGAAAGGCCGGCTATATACCTTCTCAACATTCTCGGCATTCAGGATACATAATTCCGTTAGCCTGTACTGGTGGGTGAAAATAACGAGGAAACCAAACAGCATCGGGCGTCCATATTGGTGCTTCGCGCCACAACTCTGATGTGCGCTAGCTTGCGCTACTGGAGTCATGGCCCCCACCCCCCTTCCCCCCTCCCACCCCCCATGGTCATATTTTCATAATACTATTTCCAGAATCTTTTTCGTGATTCCTGTAATGCATATTTACTTCTGGTCTAGCCTGTGTACAGACCCCTCCCCGCACAGGCTACTTTTGGTCATTCCAGTGGGATTTAAAGGTACGGTAAAACGGTTAAAAAAAAAACGTGCAACTTGTTTTGCAACATTGTTGCAAAACGAGTTGAATAGCATCGATGTTGCGCGTTTTACCAACCTTTCAACAACCTCATCCCCAGGGCTTTTCCCTTAAAAAATGGGTGGGGCGGGAAAAGGCCCTGGCATCGTCTAGTCACGTGTCTTTATTAAATATTCATATGATCGGTAATGTATGAATTCCTCTGGTCAATTCTGTATCCTCATTGGTTGACGGCTTTTCAGAAAAATACATTAGTCTATTGATTTGTGATTAATTTTTCCGAGAGGTGGAGGAAATCTCCACGCGAAACTCGTCATTCTGGCTGCGTAGAAAGAGGAAAATTCTGAAAATTGACGGGAATTTATGGAGGAATCAACTCCTAAAGAGGTTAATCCTCGAAATTTAATTTTCTGGCTTTGCTGCGAAGCATTTGAGAGCCGTCACTTGACTCGTGTTTTCGGTAGAGCGAGTAAAAAGGAAGGCAGTAAGGAAGATCTTTCCTCAAAGATTCGAAATGTTTGTGGAATTGACATAACTGAAAGTGTTTCCCTCTCGACGCTTATATGCAGGACGTGCCATGGATTTGTGTCCAAGGCGAGTGACTTCAGACAAAGGTGCATGCAAATGCAAATACAGCTGGAACAACTGTGTTCAGTGAAGCGTTGTGTAGAGCTCTCCCCGTCGTGCAAGCCGCCTTCAAAGCGCTCAACCAGCGAGCTCCGTCGTTTCGCGTAAAGCTCCTCCGAGCAACTCAACTTCGGAGAGGCTCCAGCTCAAGCCATACAACGAGAACCCATGAAAGAGGCTAATCCATCGTTTTTGCCTCTAGCATCTGTTCTTCAGGATGAAACACCTTCGCTACCCGACGCTTCCAAACTCATCGATGGTGACACTGAAGAATTCATTCGGGTAGCAAACACACAACCAGCCGTCATTGCCGATGTCATAAAGCAACGTTCCCCGAGTGTGATTGCAGCACTAAAATTGACCATCAAAGATGAAATAGCCGCAGCTTGTCAAACGTTATGCAGACGCTCCGATGGCTCGGTTTTATATAGCAACAGGAACAGCTTCGAGACTTTGAAGGAATTTGATTTTGATCGCGTTTGGACAGAAATGAAAAGTATTGTGCCTTTTTTCATAGAGATCATGAATGCCGTGTCTGGAAAGAACTTAGGAATGGAAAACACAGAGCTTGATGTGCGAGTCAAGTTCTGCTTTCTCTACTCGGTTCTTATGAACGAAAGATGGCATGAGCTGAGTCTGTTGAAACGCGTTTTTTTAAAAAAACAATTTTCATAGCCCACCCCCCCCCCGTACTTTATGACCGGTCCCTTAACACAATATTTATTATTGAGGGTGGATGTACCAAGAAGGTTTGTACTGTTTTTGTGTAGTTGTACAGGTTCAAGTGGAGGTCTTGCTCTTTGCTACCCAATTTTGAAAGACGGCTCAATTTTTAAGACTTTGTAAACATCCAGAATGAAAACCCAAAATACACACCAATTGTATTATCTGTGTAAAAACAGAAAGCATGAAATTCTTTATCTAGAATATTTATAATTGTGTTTTATGGAAGATGTGAGACGAAAGCACACTTACCACATTTTAAGTAGATATAAGCTTATTATGTTTGAGTTTGATTTTTCAATCTTACAAGCTCATCAAGTATTGCAGCCGTTACTACTGGCATGCACTCACTACCCTGCCAGCACCTCCCATCCAATCGAATGCACTCCCCTGATTTCCAATTATTATTACTAGTTAACATAAATTACTGATCTATTTAATACGTACATTACCTGTGACATTTCTTGTATTTTATTCAAATCCACACTTCCTTGAATATTAAAGTAGAGGAAAATAAGAACCCGATGGACGGAGTTCTGACAAGATCATAAAATTTCAAACCAGTGCGTTAGTCCCGTGCATTTTGTCATGTGTTGCATGAAGTTCAACGGTAATTTGTTGCGTTGTACTTGATTTGATTTTATGTGTCAGTGTAAGCTTTAAAGATGCTAGACGTGTATGTGAAGATGGTTTTGTCTCTGTGTGGGATTACCTTGTTTGTAACATTTAAGTCTTTATTCATTCTAATGAACTTCAATGCCCATTTCTATGCAGCTTCAAGAACGATTGAACAGACTTGCTGTTTGTCTGTCCCATGGCAGACGAAATGGTTTGCTTTTACTGCCCCACCCATTTTTTTAAGGGAAAAGCCCTGGGGACGAGGTTGAACCTTTCAAGTTTATTTGTTGCATTGGGTGGTGGTAAAACGCACAGCATCGCTATTCAACTCGGATCGTTTTGCAGCAATGTTGCAAAACAAGCTGGACGTTTTTTGTTGCCCGTTTTACTGAATCTTAAATAACAAGACAATGAAGCCCTAATTTGCACAAGAAAGCAAAACCCTGAAGGATTTCGGTCGTAGTAGTAAAATGACGTCATAGATGAAAATGGCCTTTTACTACCCTGGGAGCAGAACTTTCTTTTGTCTTCTTCTCACCTGGAAGACAAACCGCCACCTGTTTTTAGAAAGCATATGATAGTGAAAAATTGAGTAAAACGAAATCACTTCGAAGTTAAAATGAAAACAAAGGACTGAGAGTAATCTACGACCAGCCGTCCCCACAATCTGAACGCCTGGAACGGACTACCAGGCGTTCATCTTCTTTTTTTCTGCTTTTTTCTTCCTAGAAAGCGAAAACGTGCGCGAGTTTTTCCTTTTCCAATCACCTTTCGAAGAGCAAGGGAAGAATGACCGCCTTATCGCAGGTTAGTCTATAACAGAGGGAATGGAAATAGAATACAGTGACCTAAGCAAAAGGCCAGCTAAATTCTAAGATTTGCCAGTTTCTCGCAATTAACCGTGAGCAAAGAAAGAGATTGTAACTGATTTAGTCACTGTTTTATGACAATCAAATGTCTTTCAAGTATTATAATTGAAAGTCGCAAACAACAGAAATCCCAATCAGCCTAACTGCAATCCGTTTTAATTTTCAATTTTCTCCATACGCGATAAGCAGAAGGCGCCGTTCTGTTCAGGTGAGTAAACTGTTCATGGCTAATATTTACGATGTTTACTGCGCAGCAAAACTAGTGCTGTTCACAGGGGCGGATCCAGGATTTTTTTTAGGAGGGGGTGCACTCGTCTCTTGCTCTACTTCAACACCAATAAACCACATAGTTTTTTTTTGGCAGAATACCAGTTGTATTAGAAAACCGCAGGTAATCTCAGGGGGGGGGGTGCGCACCCCCTGCACCCTCCCCCCTAGATCCGCCCCTGGTTCAGAAATGGTTTGGTTATATGTGATATTTTCAAAGAAATTGTTTTATATTTAAAGTGAAGGTACTTAAAGAAGTAAGGTTCTCAGGAAATTTATTAATTCTGAAATTCAATTTGTTTGGAATAAAGGAGGCCAGAAACACAAACTAAGTATTGCTGTCAGGTAACCAGTATCCGGCCAGTTTTTTCCTTGCTGTACAGAATCGATGAATTAGCTGCGTACATTATCCGGATAAGATTTATTTCATATCTATAACTATAATTAAAGCTTAGGATATATGATGTAATCGGAAAATGTAATTCTACTCAACCTCCTTATGATTTTTTTTTTTCACTCATTCAGAGGCGACTTGATTGCGTGTGCACGGCTTGTTTCGCGTGACTGCATTTTCTAGTTCTATATAACCGGAAGCGTCGGAGTTGAACCGGGAATTCTCATACTTTCCCCAGTTGTGACTGCTAGAATTGGGTTCCAATGATCTGAAAAATGCTCTAAGGGATTGAGTGATGTGAAAGAAGGAGGAGTAAAACGAAATCACTTCGAAGCTAAAATAAAAACCGTGAAGGTCTGAGAGTAACCTGCCACCAGCCGTCCCCACCATCAGAACGCCTGGAACGGACTACCAGCCGTTCATCTTCTTTTTTTTTTACTTCCGGGAAAGCGACAACGTCCGCGAATTTTTCCTTTTCCACTCGTCTTTGAAATGACAAGAAAGGAATGACCGCCTAATTGCAGGTTAGTCTTAGAGAGGGAATGGACATAAATACAGTGACCAAAGCAAAAGGCCAGCTAATTATAAATTCTAAGATTTGCCAGTTTCTCGCAATTAACCGTAAGCAAAGAGAGGGATTGGAAATGACATAGTCCCAGCTTTATGACATAATCAAATGTCTTTCAAGCATTATAATTAAAAGTTTCGAACAACAGAAACCCCAATCAGCTAATTGTCCATCTGCGCTAGCCAGATTCTCGTCAGACGTCCGAGGTCGATCGCTGCCCCTTCGTTTCTCTTCCTCTCCCGTCTGATACAGTCAGTGCGAGATCGCTTTTATGACGTCAGAGTGACGTCAGAGTACCCTCTTGTATGTCAAGAGCCAACAAACAAAGAGTGGAAAAGGAAACCAGAACAATTTTACGCGGGTTTTTCCAAGATCAGATTTTGGGAAAGCTAAGATTCCTTATAACTTCTTCGTCGAAGAAAGCCGTCCACTGTTATCCTAGACGAACTCAATTCTTTGCTTGATATATCTGCGCTGAATTCGTCGAAACAAGCGATAGAATAGCGGTTTAAGCGCGCCCAATAGGATTTGCGAGGAACTCTTTGCAAGATTTTACGCAGTGAATTACAGTCTTCGAACGAGGACTTGCAATATGTTTGCAAAAGAAAATAAGAGAGAGGCAGAGAAGCGAAGGGGCCGCGATTCGGACCTCGAACGCCACGTCTGAGCGGAATCATGACACCGGTACATCCGCATGGTCTTTTGCCTCGGTTTATCGGTATTCTTTGTTTTTCGCAAGTTCCCTCACTGCTTATACGTGCGTTATTCAGTTTGATTAAATTGTTCTTGTGAAGTTATAATTTTTTAGGTGGGGTATTTGATTTCTATGACGGTAAAATGGTTTCTTTGATGACAAGCTTGAACTCCAGACTAGAGAAACAGCAAAGCAGGATTTTTATTGGGGAGACATCAGCGATCCTTTACCTTGCTGAATAAAACAAACACAAATTATGAAGATTAAGACAATTAAGAAAACCGATCACTACAAGACCGGGTGTAAAAATAATAATAATAAAAAAGGTGAACTCCCACTTTGCAGATTGGTCAATAGCTGTCTAACCCCACGTGGCCTCCACATGTATATTCTTCTACGAACAGAATTAAATGTAATACATGGACAACGAATAATAGAGACGATTCGTCAGATCATGTAGGCGAATCGATTTGCATGAGTGTAGGCGAATCAACTTGTAGGCGAACCGACCCTGCGGTTTCCGTCCTTTGGGACGCGAGTGTATCTACAATGTTCGCTCATTGCCAAAAAAATTCCATCGATATTTAAAGTAATTTGTACAAGAAATTTGAAGTACTCCTTCTGAATGAAAAGCCTATCCTTGAAACGGTGCCGAAGACTATATCGTGTTCTGATCGTGTAAAATTCCATCCAGGGCAATACCCCGGGGGAATACCATGAAATTGAGATGACGATGATCGTTGGAAAATTAGAATAAAACCCAAAAGAAGGCTGGTAATCTAGCTGGGTATGGCTCATGCTTAAACACCGTTTAACAGCCATTGTTTAGATTAAGATATTTCTTTACGCACAACAATAGGCGGTACCCCTATGGTTAAAAATATTTAACACTCAAAACGTACAACTTCTTCCCCTATGAAAGGCGACGAACATTCCCGTGACTTTCAAAGGGGATTCCCCCTTGTTCCTCAACCTTGGGGGCCAAGCCTCGCAGCGAGGTGGTGTCAAGGGCAGAGAGCTAGAATTAGAAATTTCCCTTTTAGCGATTGTAAACTATAAAAACCTTTTAAGAATTACTATATGGGCAGGAGAGTTTTTTCACAGAGGTGTGGACCAAAATCCGTTGTCCACAGTCCGCAGTCCGCAGTCCAGAGTCATTATGTTGTTCGGTTTGATGCTTCTTAGATAATGTACTTGGAGAACCGCTGACAGAATCGGTCAAATTTCTTCTTTCGCGCGTTGTGATCGCAATGTTTTGGAAAGCAAAAATATCGTTTTCCCTCGTCAAGAACATCGCTTTTACTCGTCTACAAAATATGGAACTGGTATGGACACAGCAATGACGCAAGATTTTTTATTTGAATCTGAACAGAAATATTTCTCGAGGCTCAAACATGCTGACACAGTTGCGCTCAGGGGTCGGTACTGAAAGATATTCCACAGTTCTTTGTTCAAGTAAGTAATTTTGATATAACTTGCTAAAGTTTCGCTTTGACTTCCCCAATTTTTACCTTGTCCACCACTCGCAACTGGACACGGATGACGTATAAAAACAAAAGATCTCTTTGGTCTTCTTTGTTTTCTGAGGAAAAAATGTGCTTGATATTATTTCACGTTTTTTTTTTCTTTTGTTTTTAATATGTCATCTGTGTCCGGTACACGAAGTAAGTGCCGATGTTTTCCTTCTCCCTGTACAGTTAACCTTATTACCAGTTAACTTATTTAAAAATGCATTGTTCTTTTAAGTACTGAATATTTTTATGCAGTCCAACACCTAATTTCCTGGCTGAACTTGATTCACTCAATTCCTCAGCCTAATGCACTTACCAGTGGGCATCCCAGGGGCTCGCCCCCAGGGAACCCCTGATGATTTGTACAAAGTGGTTTGTAACCGGTACCCCTCTGTTGTCTCCTGTTAGGGGGGGGGGGGAGGGGGTGGGGTAACAGTTGGTTCCAAGACTTCAGATGAAGCCTCCTGTCAAGGGACTTCCTGATTGTAGTGAAATTTTTCTTTACTTCTTTTTATTTGGGCGTCACCCAATAGAGTAATCGAGTTTGCTTGTTTTCATTCAAAGTTGCAATAGGCACACAATACGTGCGAACGTAAACACTCCAAGTAAACAAGCCAAGCGACAAGAATTTATGTCTGCCATGCACTGCATCACAACACAACATTTATCTTCGTTAGATACGACCCACAGATAACTCACGGAAAAACCACTCTACGACACTTGCTCGATTGATGTGCATGAAAAAATTTCATCTGCTATTGATCGTGGTGAATTAGCGGTTAGTGTCTTTTCAGATCTCTTGAAAGCTTTCGATACAGTCAATCATTCCATCTTATTTGATAAACTTGAACACTATGGTATACGTGGGTTGGCTCTGAAATGGATTAAGAGCTATTTTTGCAACAGACTTCAATTTGTAGAATACAATGGTTATGTTTCATCTTGTGCTAATATCATGTGTCGCGTTCCCCAAGGTTCAATACTAGGGCTTTTTTTTATTCTGCTCTACATCAATGATATAATCAACATGTCCACAAGACTACCATTGATATTATTTGCCGATGATACAAACGTATTTGTGTCTCACAAGGATAAAGACTGCCCGACTAATCTACTGAATGCTGCGCTAAATAAGTTGTCAATATGCTTTAGAGCTAACAGGCATTCATTAAACTTGAAAAAAACCAAATTCATTGTATTTAAACCATGTCAAAAGTGTACAAATCAAACTATTCAACTTTTAATTAATAGCCATAAAATTGATCAGGTAAAGGAAACAGTTTTCTTGGGAGTAATCATGGATGAAAATTTAAATTGGAAATCTGAAATCTCACATGTTGCCAACCAGGGCAGAGTCCAACATATTCACTTGCAAACTGTGTTTTCTTTTTAAAACCCTTGGGTTAATTAGATCAAGTCGTATTCTCTCATACACAAACCACGAAAGTGGGCTAATTCCAAAGCAAATTCATGTGCAAACTGCATGACAATACAACTCACAGTAAGGGCCTGATCACATGAGCCAGGTTAGCAATGCTCATGAACAGTGTGTTACCCACTGTCCTGTTTCTCGCTTGGTTCATTTGCTGGGCCGCCTGGCAAGCGTGATTACTTGGAAACTTGCCACCCGGGATCCCAGGCGCATCACAATACCAGGATCCCAGCTAACCAGGCTGGCTCGGTTGTCATAAAATTGCAAAGTTGATTTTTGTTGTGTTTAACTAAGGTGCCAGGATCTCTGCAAAGCGAGCCAGCCCGGCTCATGTAATCAGGCCATTTATTGTTCTCGAGCCAGATTGTACGCCCTCTGCTTGACCTCACTGATTTTTCAAAGCCCCTGAGCACACGCACAAACTTTCATCTTCATACCCCCTTCTCTATAATATTATTGAATGAACTTTTGGCCTTATTCATGTTCTCTTCATACAAATATTATCAAAAATAAACGAAAAATGATCCTAAAGAGAAAGCCTAACGATGTTTAAAATAAGTACAAGTATGTTTTTGACTACTGATAAGACTTTTCACAACCACCACTACATTTCAACACACTGTAACTACACTATCCCTTCATAACCAACATAACTGACCTCACTGCAACACCTACAGCTCTAACTCACTGTTACCTCCAAAATTAATTATCTTTTGTTACTTCATATTAAATTCTACAAGAAACAAGTTTCACTGATTAGCAAACTACAGCCATTATCCTACCAATTCATGTCCATGCCTTCCACACGTCACTCATCTCAACCAACCCCCAAAATATACGCCACTGCACTACTCAGTAAACTCACATATCCCTAATACACATTAAAAGAAAAAAACTTCACACACGCCTAGAACATTGACGCCCAAATATACGCTACCACAGCGTCTTGTTTTACTTAAAAAATGCCTCTTTTAAAGAGTAGTACAACTGTAAGGCAAAGTTAAAAGAAATGAGAAAAAAAAAATAGAAATAGCAACAAACTGTTTCTCATCCCTGTCAGCTTCATTTTTTGAGGTAGCCTCTAAACCTGTGATGAGTTGGTCTTTATTCCTTTTTTCTTTGGAAGGTGATAGGAGTCATCATCTGGCCATTTATCGTATCCTAATATAATGATACCTTTGAGGTGTGGTTTGGCTGCACCATGGTTAGATGCTTAGTTAATTTTGCAATTGGCCCAGCTGTCAAACTCAATCAAGATCCACACAAATCACAATTTGGTTTGTCTCAAGAAAAGTTCGAAGTCTGGCCTCAGCCTACACTTGTCTACTGCATGGGATGAAGTTGAGCTTTTTTTGTAAGTCAAGGAATGGGAAAGGACAACATTCTCTATACTTCTCTTGTTATTCTCTTTCCCAGCCACTTCTGCGAGCTGCATACATTGTAACAAAAATTATCCTTGGGGTCTTTTCCTCAGGGATTCTGCTATAAAATTGCAAAAGCAATCCAATCCCCCATCCTGGGCTAAAAATTGGCAGCAAATGTCAACAAATCCAGAGGACCATGCCCACATATGTCCCCAGGGAGAATTACCCCCCACCCCCACCTCTGGGATGACCACTGATAAGTGCATAATCATTAAACTTCAGAGTCATTTTGCAAAAGGTGCTCCATCAGTATAGTAGCCTTTTCTTCTATTACTACTACCGTAAGATACTTAAGTAAAAACTGGCAACCAGAAAGTCAGTTTTGGATCCTGCAAAGACAACAAGAATGCATCATACAATTTCTTCTCACAAGTCATGTGCTCTTGAAGATGCATGGGTGCTGTCCCAATGAAGTCTGTCGTGAGAACCTAACTATCTACCTTGCCTCTTTGAGGTCCATTGCGCATAAGGCCTCTGTCTTGAGAAAGTTGGCAATAAATTGTTATTTTTTTTATTTTGTCTTTTTTGTGACTGAAACCATTTTTTAAGCACAGGATTATTATTCTCTGTTCTATAGCTTGCACAGTGAAAGACACCAATCCATCCATGGAATATCCCAAATCTTCCAGAGAGATTTTCCTTGAGCATCAAAACAGATGACATAACTGGCAGCACATTGTCGGGAAATAAGGTAAAAGAATATATTGCAAACATGAATAAAAAGCACTTAGTTAATTCTATGCTAAAACTCAACCCTTAATTTAAGCCCATATCAACATATAAATTTTCCAGACTTGAGTCGACCGTTGGTAGATAGTCAATTTCCTTAAAGAATTAGTTGAGAGAATTTGATAAAAGATCAAACCATTTTCCCCTAGATGATCACTTTATTAATATTATTCTAATTACCACCTAAGTTATCTTTCAATTGATTATTATTTGGAAAAAAATTGATGTTGGTCACTAGTGGACCTAAAGGGTTAATAATTGTAATAGTTGACTCTACAGCTGCCCATGCTCTAGATGTTGTCGGTCAATTAATAGTATTCTTGGTCGTTGTGTAGCTCTTTGAAATATACATTGTACTGATTCCTAATGACAATTTTCACACATATTCCATACATATAATGACCTCACTCTTGTCTAATAAGTAGTATTTAATTATAACCATAGCGACTGATATTATGTACTTCAAATACGTTTATGACACCCTGAGGTACACTACTCCATTTCATTGATCAATGCAGTTTTTATAGGTTATAGGTTTTTTATAGGTTGATTCTCAATTTTAATATTATTTATGATCATGAATAGTTATGGTTGAGAATTAACCTCGGTTATAAAACCTTTTTTAACCTGAATTTCATTTTGACCTACAACATGTACGTGCCAGTTTTGTCATCATTGTTTTATTTTGTGCCATGTAATAGGTACGGAAGTTGGAGTTTCTTCTGGCTGATGCACTGAACAATGAGTGTGACACCATTTTTACATGTGGTGGAGTGCAGTCAAATCATTTTAGAGCCACTGTAATAGCAGCAAGACAGCTTGGCTTGGATTGTTATTTGTTTCTTAGAAGCTCTGAACAGGTCAGCTACACTGTATATTTTCTGGCAATGTACAAAATGAACTCCTTTTTAAATCGGTCCCCTTTACTTGATGCCCTTGCTGTTTGAACCTATCCACATTAGCTCTCATATATATTGCTATGGGAACCAGAAAAACATTCCTGGAGCAAGAGTTAATAACCAATAACAAATTCAATACAATGTGTGGATTTACTTCCACAGTATTCAAACCTGGGGTATATTCACCTTGTTGGAAGGTGTGTGCCCTCACTTTCCCAATTTCTATTCCACCACCCTTGTTTTGCCATCAAATCAGACATTAATTATTTTATTGAACCCATCAACAATAGATGAGCATGGGGAATGGTGCCTGAAGAAGGTGGAGCGACGAGACAGGCAGAGTCGATTGCGCAGTGCATGAGGGGACACAAATTGCCTTAACTGTAAGTATCCTGGAGAGTCCCATACAGTTTACAAAAATCAAGCTTTGTTTTCCCTAAATGTTACACCATACTTTGCCCCAAAAGACGTTAAAAATTTCTCCATGATAGAAGAGTGTTTTGCTAGGGTTAAAAAAGTTTGGCTTTCATGAGTTTCAATACATAGGTGCAAAAGCTTGCAAGAAATTATCAACATAATTACATAGCACACAAACATTGTAATCTAACTCCTCGCACGTAGCCGGAATAAGCCAAGTAATGAAGCATATAACAAAAACTCGTCCTCAAATGGTCTCGATAACTAAATTATACTTTTTTTTGCGAAAGAAACTTTTGTTTGTATCGGTGTTACCCATCGAAAAAGTGAGGAGTTATTGCATAACATTAAGTATAACAGAGGTAATACTCACGGTTTTCACAAGTTCTATGCTCTATTTTTCACCAGGAAACAAACTTCAATTCTTACCTTACAGTTGTCGGTCCTTTTACCTTGCATTCGACAACAAATTAAAGGCGAACAAAGCGATGAAATCCGGCACTCTTATAAATAGCAAGCCGCACGAAGTAAAATCCACCAATATGCACTGCATTCTCACTACAAATATAAACAAATGTCGTGGCGAAAAAACAACGAGGAGGAAAGGATGCCAGATCTTCACCTCGGCTCCAGCTAGAAGAATGTGGACTCAAAGTGGGACAAACATTGTAATTTTTTTAGAAGCCTTTTGCGCGCAAACTAATTTATTCTGGTGCGAAATGAAGATTAAAAAATGTATACTGCAACCTAATACACAACAAAAATTTTTTTGCACTTTTGAGGAGTGTGACATATTAATGGGATTAAGTCAGATTAGCTGCCCACAAAGAAAACATCTCTGGGTGGGATTGTACATCCAGTAAAAGCAATTTGTGTCCCCTCATGATCCATGATAACCTGTGGGTGGAAACCACCAGGCACTGTCACACTGAAAATCACCAGAGGCTGAAAGACTTACCATGCCAAGAGGGATGGGCAGGGAAGGGGTAAACTCAATGAAAACTGCCCAGCAGTGAAAAACAAACATGGAATGACATCAAAAGCCAGGCTGTTAATACATGTACGCGTGAGCCCCTGCATGCAACCCCTGGCCACCCCACATACTGATCCATGGAGGAAAACTGCTGGCCAGCATTGTTTTGTGTTTAACTTAGCCTTATTACATTTAGCCACATTTAAAAGATTTATAATTTCCCATTCCTCTACATGGCAGCCACCTCAGAACTACCACAGTACACAACAGCAATCTACTGCACCAAATATTGTGCCTTGAGTGGGTTGAATTCATTTTTTGTTACGTGTTTTGCCAGGAGCAAGTATTCTAGCACTGTCAACTGGAGCGCACTTTTCGAAACCTATATAAGAAGGACACCCACTGTTGGTCGCTTCCCTCGCTGTTTTCAGTCATTTTCTGCAATTAAGCTCCCTAAATGTGATGGACACCTTTCTTTAAAGTCCGGAAAGTTGATTCCCACTGTGTTTATCTGCAAGAGTTTAGTAAATTTCAATTTCTGTTAAATTTTAAACTATTAGCGCCCTCTTGGGAGCTAGTAAACTGTAGAACATTTTGTTGATTCCTGTTCATGTTGATGCAGTCTACAGATATTGGATGTAAAGGGAATCTTTTTCCAAAAAAAATGGTTGGAAGCCATGTTGTTGTTCCAAAACTTCAGCATAAATCAGGCCTTAAAGAGATGATGCAGAAAATGGCAGAAAACTGGTAAGTGGCTTTAATGACTTAAAAAGACTACAAAAACCATTTTTTAGCTGGAACATTCTTATAATGATAAACATTGCATAGTGAGATAATTAAGGCACTTCTGGCAAAAGATCAGAAAACCTTACACTAGCTCTTATAATTGGCCACCCACAAATTGTAAACTTAAGGTAATTGTAAACTTAAGGTTTTTTTGTCCCACCACCCCAAGAGAAATAATTTTGATTTCTAATTTCCTTTTTTGCTAAGTACGCTGGAGCCAGTGAATATACCTATAATTACATGTAACTGATTCCCCTGGCCAACTCAAAATCTCCTTAAAACCTTATAGCAGTTGCAGTACTGTATTAATTGTTAATCGTATTTATTTTGTCAGAAAGCAGCAGGGATCCTCAGTATATTTGATAGAGATAGGTGGTTCATCTTACACAGGGATGTTTGGTTACTTGACTGCATTTCAAGAGATGATAGAACAGGTACACTGTATGAACTATATGGTTTATTTGACATGCATTTTGTAGGTTGTAGCTATTCATAAAGAGATTTTTAAGGTCCTAAGTGACTTCTCATCTCAATATTATTTATTTTAAGCAAATAAAACAAAGGTAATTTGAAAAGAAAATCTACATTTACATTGTAGCACTGATCAGAATTCCCTTGACAGAAATTTTTTTTCAGGAAGCATCTTAAATGTCAAAGTTTCTCTGTGGTCAACCTTGTTGCTTTGTATGGCATTCGGTTATATTAAGTAATGGTGACTGACTTGAGATGAATTTAAGAGCAAATTTTAAGGATTAATTGCAAAGCAAATGGAGCTTTGAAGTGAAAAAATAAAATTATTATCTCAGCAGAAGGAGTAATTTTTACTTTACACCACTTTATTTAACAAACATGGTTGTTTATAGTGTGCTAAATGCTACTTCTCATCTTTTTGGTAAAAGGTACCTGTATTTAACAGATGCTGTAATTATTAAGAAGGTGCTAGTCGGGCCAGTCCATTAGGCATCTACTTAGTAAAGTGTGCCATGTTCTTTTAAGGGAAATATAAAATAAGAGATGATCATGCAATCCAGGTCCATATATTTCTTAGCCTCTCATGCAGATGTTCTTTGGGGTTTGTCACGCATTCCACTGATGACGTTAGTGGGGCAGGAATGTGTGACAAACCCCTAAGAATGTCTGCATGGGAGGCTATACATTTTTTAGATTATTTTGTTATTTTGTTAAGTAGTTGTAATTTGTTAGACCTTAGTTGTTTTAATTTATTGTTTGAATGTCTTTCATATTTATTCAGAATGTGTTAGAAGATTATGATGATATTGTAGTTACTGTCGGCAGTGGAGGAACGGCATCAGGAATTGCTATTGGCAATTACTTGACTGGCTCAAAACTCAAGTAAGGCTCCAGTTTGCATTTAAATAATAGTTATTTAGGACCAACCATGCAGTTACTTGCTTAAAAGAGATATTTGCACTTTGCTAAAAATGTGGTAACAAAATTAATGTGCTAGACTGACCAGTTCAGTTTTCTATGGATTGTGATTAATGCGGAAAAAAAATTGCCAATATTCCTTTAGTTTTTCCTCTGTTTTGGAATAATTTATTTTAAAGGTTGATATACAGGTAGCCTTCAAAGGCAAAATTGCTTCATGATTCCCACCTTTTTTCACTAACAGAGTGGTTTTCCTGGCAAAGCAAAGTAATCTACTGTAAAAGTACAAAATGAAAACAGAATATATAGAAAAAATGACTGAAGCAAATGTTTTAATTTTTGTTGCCATAATAGTGTAATAAACCTTTTCTCCCTAATTCCTCCCTAGACTACTTGGTAAAAAATAAACAACAACAACAACAACAAACAAACAAAAAAATCACTGGCCTTTAAGTAGTAATTAAGGCACTTTCTATAGTCAATCAAAAAGAAGAAAAAGAAGAAAAGTAAACAGATGTAAATCATCCAAACTGTCCCCGGCTATTGCAATTCAAAATTAAGCTATGTTTACTTTTCTTTCTGCTTAATTTCTTCTGTTCTTTTGTTGGGGAAAGTGAAATTTTGTATCTTTATGGCTCAGTCAGTAAGATTTGCATAATTTTGTGGATGTTGTGCAAAGGTTAAAGAGATTTACTGCTTCTTAAGGAATTATTCATGAAAATACGGTTGATAGTTTTAATTGGCTGAACTTCCAGTGGAGGGGCTTACTCCCAATAATGGCCTATTTGGGGAGGCTCCCCCCAAAGGGGTACGAGTTTTTAGGCTTCAGGTACATGAAAAGGTGGAAATTTCAAGTATACGAAAGAGTAAGGAAACCTGTGATTTTCAGTCTGTAACTATAAGGCCCAAAAGGGCTGACATACACATCATATGATTATTTTTATGGCTGTGAAATATTTGAGAAAATGTTATGGTTTTGTGATTGATTCATTCAAAATTCAAAGTGAATTTACAACAGCTAAAAGGGATGCAAAGTTCTATAGCTTAAAGGTATGTGGAAGGGGTACATGAAAGAGACACCTTTTCTGTCAAAGATGTGGTAGTATAATTATTATAAATGGGTAAGGGATTGGACCTTCGGGCAAAGCCTACAAATGTAGTCCCTGTATACAGCTGTTTCGAGAAAGGTTGTCGGAAGAAATGCGCACGGGGCAATCCCGAAATATGGGATATGACCAATACACTGTTCGTAAACGACTGAAGTTGTCGAACCTACTTTTGTTGCTTTCCTTTAGTACTCGCAAACATATGTCCGTGGCCTCCCGTACCATTCTTTCAAGTTTCTTTGAAGAACAGTGCCCTCAAAGCCACCCACAATACGTTTCGGGATTGCCCCATGCACTTTTTCCGACAGCCTTTCTCGAAATAGCTGTATAACTTGGTAAAAAAAAATTGAAGCTGTGAAAAATTTTGCTTTTTTTCAACTTTCTAGATGCCATGCAGTCAATGTGTCTGACAGTGCAGCTTATTTTTACAATAAAATCAATGAAGACCTTAGGACTTGGGGAATTGATGTCAGAGCAGAAGATATTATGGAGGAGGATATGGTGTGTCCACTCAACAACAACTAGGTGGGTAGGACTAGAGGAAATAATGTCAAAGCAAAATATATTATAGATATTATTGATGGCTACAAAGGGGGAGGATATGGTGTGTTAACTCAACATAAACTTGGTTGGTACACTCTTGCACTCTTGTAGGACTGGGTTGGTGGGGAAATTGCTTTTCAAGAAGCTGATATTATTGGTGCATGAAAAGGAGTGTGAGGAGGTGTGTCGCAACTGCTCACGGGATTGGTTGGGAAAACAATAAACAAACAAAGTCAACAATGAAACCTAGCCCCAAATCAAAAGAGCTGCAACTTGTAAGGGTACAACAAAATTTTATGAGCAATCAGAGTGAAGGAGGTGGGTATTTGGGGGGGAGGTGGGGGGTGTTCACTTGTGTATACTGTTAAAGTTGCTTGGTATAATTTAATTCTATACACTATAGATTCTACCTGGCAACTTCCAAACCTCCCCCCACTTCCCCCAACTCTTCTCATAGGTTGGCCACTGGATTTAATTGGAAAACGTGTATAGTCTTTCTGGCTCCTTCAATTCACATGACATACAATACAATACAACCGCTTCCAGCTAAGTCTTTGAAGTTGGTAACATTACAGAATATTTGACGTCCAAGGGACCTTAAGCAAGGACGACGACGGCGGTAGTGAAATCGTCGGTAAAAAAATGAATTTGCCTTTTTCTCAAACTTAATCGCGTCTATTCCGACCCACTCAATACGTCAGATACAGGCGACTTTTCCGGAGTTGAGTTCTTAAGGATTTTATTCAGGTTCAAAAAGAGGAAGGAAAATTCGTCGTTGTATGTCCACGTCCTCCATAAAACGTCAAATTAGGAGGTTTTACGTGGACGCCAGAGAAATGTACCAAAAAAAGCGTGATGCACGTGCAGAGCTGTTGTTTTGATCATTAAACCTATTGTTTTTTTGAAGTCGTCGTTGTGGTGGTGGTCGTACTTGCTTAAGCTCCCAAACGGCAGACGTGAATTTACCACGTGACCAAGTTTTCCCCTTATTTTCCGTTTACTCTTTACTGCTTCTACACAAAAATAAGTAGTTTATGCCAGTTTTAACCATGGGAATCGTTCGGGACTGTTTTTATCTGCTTATTCTCTATTCTGAGAAATCCCCAACTTGTCCGACGTTTTCCGTTTGTGGTTAACGTGAACCCTTTAATATCTCTACTGTACTGTATTACCAATTAGGGAGCTTAAGCAACGACGACGACGGCGACGGCAACGAGAACGGCAAAAAAGCAATGGGTTTAGATTAACAAAACAACAATATTGCGCGTGCATCACGCATTCTTGTACATTTCTTTGCTGTAGTTGCACGACAACAACGTGAAACGTCCTATTTTCACGTTTTGTGGAGCACGTGAACACAAGACAACAGTTTTCTTTTTTCCAAACTTCGATACTCTCTTTAAGAATTCAATTCCAGAATTATTTGCTGAAGTGAGCGAAGACAGCGTGAATATACTTTTTAAATGACGTTTTTGTGTACAATTCTTTACCGTCCTTGCACGACTACGACGTGAAAATGCCTAATTGCAAGTTTTATGTAGGCCGTAACAAGCGACGAAGAATCTCTTTTTCTCTCTCTAAACTTGAGTGCGGTCCTTAACACTTCACTAGCCAGCATGCGCCTTGTCTGCGTGAAGATAAGACTGCGCGGAGAACGTGACCGGTGACTACCTGTCATTTTTTTTCAGGACCTGGTGCTTACATGTATATTCCCATTTGGCGGCCACTAAAAAAACCCTCCAAGTAAAAACTTATTATTTTAGTGTCTCAGAATGTTGTAGTTTTCTTTAATAATTAAAAGACGTGATCATCATGAAACCGCTAATGATAGCTGTACTCTTGATAGAGATT